ACCCCTAAAGGGAGCAGCCAGAAGAAGAAGAAGAAGAAGGTTCTAGATGGTCACTTACCATGCTCACAGTGCAGCTACCCAACTATTTAAAATGTTAATGGTTAATAGGAAACCCCTGATTTGGCATTCTTAGTGATACCTTGGCTGGATGAAACTGTCAGTATGAAGTCGTAGTGTTAAAGCTTTCAGTATAAATGACTGGAGCAAGTGGCTATTTTCTAAGCCTTATTTCTACTCTTTGTACCCCCTTTATATGTGCATTTTTTCCCTCTTGTTCTTTTCTGCTCACGTATTGGCATCACTGTGAAGCAGTGTTGCCAGAGCTTCTAAACACAGCAGGAAATCTCTGTCTCTTCCTCGAGCGTGCTCTCAGGGGGATTGGTGAGACATTCTCTTATTTGTACGGGTTTATCTGTGTATGTAGCCACTCGTGTATTTATGTGGGTTTCTGCATGCGTGTGTGTTATATGCGCAGAAATGTCAAAACAAATGCCAACATCTTCCACCTTTGTGTCTCCAATCAATTCATCCTGACCAGAATTCTTTTAAGACAAAAAAGGATTGGATGAAGGCAAGGAAGGGAGGGAAAAAGGAAAGGAAGGAAGAGGCAAGAGGATGACAGCGGGGGAAGATAGAGCTGTGTGGAGGAAGAAAAAAAGGGGGGCGTATAAGGAGCGGGATTAAAATGTGGGGAAGAGATAGTAATGAGAGATGGTAGGAAAGGAGAGGAGGTGGGGGAGAAGTGAAAAGGAGGTGAAAAGTGTCACATACACACATGCATGAGATTAGAGGAGGGGAGGGGGGAGAGGTCACAGAGGTAGAGTAGCTCTGTATGTGGTGACAGGACAGTGTTGCCACACAAGTCAATAGGCCTGTCTGCACTGTCTTGTCTGCATGCATTTGTGGCAGTGGTCTCTTAGCTTTAATTGAAGTCCTGTGTCAGCACCATAGTAACATAGCCTATGGGATGTTCAGTCAATGTGGTGTGACATACTTTCATCTCTCTAACACATCAGACATCTGCGTTTTTTTCTTTCTTTCACGGCTCATGTTTTTTTTGTGTGTTTTCCTTCCTTCTTCTGAAAAAAAGGAAGGATGGAAGAAGATGCCCATGAAACCCTAGTGTGTTTTGCTTTTTGATTAAAATTACCCTCTTGTTCCTTTTCAAATACGCATTTAATTGCAAAGAAGTGTCCTCCCTGTTTCATTTTGTTTCCAGCTAAACTTTTAACACATGAGGGAGATGCAGATGAATGAAGTGACGTGACACCTTTCACTCTAGCACCAATCCAAATAGACAAATTACAGTTATTGATTGATCCACATCAGCTTTGTTTGAGATATTTCTCTTTTGTTTCTTTTTGACATCTAATGCTGTTCTCAAACACACACTGTAGCCCTGAGTTTAACAGAGTTGCGGACAATGGCTAAAGTTTCTGGAATTCTCAAAACACTGTCCAGGGTTCATGTGTAACAATAGACGCAGAGGTAGAAAAAGATGTTCAAATCTAAGAATGATGAGCTTGTAGTAATATAAATCTGTTTTAATTCAGGAAAGAAAATCCAAATATTGCTTAGGTCACTGTTACACAGGCCTACAGACTGGTTGGTGTCCACTTGGCAACCACTGGTATAGGAAAAAATTTGTATTCCCCAAATGATTGCAAGTGGTTGCTGGACAAAAGTGTGATATTGATTGCTAAAGCCCCAGTCATGGAAAGCTGGTGAGTCAGGGAAATATTGGCAAGTGGCTGTGATTTCTTGGTTGTTAGCAGGTTGCCACAGTCACTTATAGTTTGTATAAGACTTCTCTGCAAAAACTCTGCAACTAGTCGCTGACTGCTAATGAAACGTTTAGAGTGGGACGTGCAGATAGGGTGACCACAGCAATTTTCTGGTGACATATACAATCACAAAAAGCTTTTGGTGCTGTACCTTTTTTGTGTCTGATTTTTACCCAGCAACCGCTCACCAACCCCTCAAGGAATACACATTTTTCCTTAGTGACCAGAGGTTGCCAGGGGGGTTCCAGCCTGTCTGACTAGCTTTCTACTTCTGCTGAGAGGATTATGGGAATTAAACCAGTGTGGAGGTTACAGAGCTGCACTTTTGTGCAGTCCCTGAACAAGCCAGTAGTGCATTGCCTCTACACAATGACGCTATGCGTAGGTTGAATACTAACTGGCTGAACATCTCGCTCGAACTGGAATGCTAACTACTACAGCAGAAAGAGAAAGAAGCACAAAAGACAACAAAGACTGTAGTTTTAATTTTAAGTCTGAAAAGTGAAGCCACTTTTTTTAAGCATTTTAAACCGCTATCCTTTGTAATGATCGAAGCCTTGCTGTACAAACTAAACATTTTCCTGACTGGTGACTTTATGGGCTTTTTATGATGCCAGCACAACGACCCAGGAAACAGATCAACACCGCAATCCAAATGAAGGAAAGAAGAGAAGAAACATGCAAATTTCCTCTTTGCCTGCCTTGCCTGCATTCACCTGTTTTTTTTGTTTTTTTTTTACCCTGTTTTTTTGCATGTATGTTCAAAATCTTTGTTCAGCTAACCAAAAGGTACAAGTACTCGATATGTTACGTTATTTTGAGTCATGCCTTCTCACTCTGCCTTGTTTCTTGTTTGTCAAGAGTGCGTTTTCAGAACACAGGGGATTAAACATTGATAGATTTCCTTCAGTGGGACACTTTCCTGTTGATGGAACTCATAAAATACACACAAGGACACAAATAAAGAAGAAACAGGTAAAAGGATTTCTCCTGCTTGTAGACAATAAAGAAGCAGTTGGTCACATGTGATGTGTATTCATGTGTGCATCAAACTGGTCTATTTGTCAGGAGAAACTCTGAGGAGATCTTTTCTGAAAAAGACAAAACAAAAAAAAAGAGAAGAAAGAAAGAGGTTTTTTATGTAACATTCATTCATAGCATCCGCAGTTCATATAACATTTATACAACAGTGAAGAAGCCTAAAACATAAACTGGAATAAGAAAGAGAAGAAGAACGGGCACTGGCTTTCCTTCCATCATAACACCCTTCCATCTTATCTCCTGCTTTCCCTTCACTTTCTCTTCAGCATTTTCTTTGCTCTCCTTTTCCTTTCTTCCTCCCTCGTCACCCTCCCTGCCATCCATCTCTCAGCTTCTCTTTCACTGTCTGACTCCCCCTCTCTTTTTCCTGCTCACCACACACACACACAGACACACACGAAGGCATGCTGACACTTAAACTAAATGCAATCACACACACCCTATTCCCTTACTCCCTCCTCTCACCACCCACACAGAATCGAGGACACACACAGGCCACAAAATACCATAGACACACTTTAGCTCACACACACTCGCTCACACACAGAGGATCCCCCACACAGAGTACTTTCAGCACTTTCTTCTTTACCATACTCAGCAAGATCAGATGTCAAGTCAACTGACAACACACACAGAGGCTGTATTTTTCTTTTCACCACGCTCTGTTTCCTCTTCCCTCTTATAGAATATATGCATTTTTAAAGCTTCCTTACACACAGACACGCACACACAATTCTGATAGCTATTTAGAGGAGTCAAAGAGTAGATGGGGCAAAGAGGCGAGAATTTAGTGTAAAGAAATATATATATATATATTCATTGCCAAGATATAAAAGGGAAAAGAGATGGAGAACATAAACACACCATTCAGTATTCAAAAATAAAGACATGATAGCCCAACCTTTAGCTTCACATGTAAGCAAAGAGTAGCTATTAGAGCAAGCTTGCAAGACAAAAATTGACTCTGTATTCAACACACACACACTGAAAGACACACAGAGAGAGTGAAACATGAATAAATGATTTTCATGCACTTACAAAACCACCACGAGCCGAGACACTCTCACACATATGCGCTCAATGTGTGTTTGCATATTGGCAGCAAACGCAGTATACAATACACGCACACATGCGCATACAATTAAATTACATGCATATTTTCCTGCAGGCAGCATATATTGACACAGACCTGGACACGCATGCAGAAACACATGCTTTCTCCATGCCTTATGAGAAGTGTTTTGACGCTTTGCGCATGCACAAGGAAAGTGCAAAGACAGTATCTGTATATTCAAGGAAGCTCTAATATTCCTCCATGCAGACCAGTGGTAATGCTTTGAAATTGTCAACCATTTGTATGCATAATTAAATACTTGATTGTAATCGGATTTGGGATTGTGTAAGAATAGTCATGTGTTTTTCTTGTGCAGGTGTCCATGCAGGTAGCATGGATTTTTATCATGGATGTTCGCATTTAGATACACAGAAATGTTCTAGTTTGTTATTGCCATTGCAATACAATTCAAGCTTGAAGACCCAAACTCAAACTGTCTGCAGTTTACAAAACAAGTCTAATCTTTATACCTGCCACTGCTTTCCTATGCACTGAGAGGTTATTATTAGTGATTAGTACCATTTAGATGGTGCGTTTTTAAAAAAATCTTTCCATTGTTTGTTTATAAATTTGTTCCCAACATCTCAGCTTTCATGATTAGAGTGCAATCAGTAACACAGAAAATATATGACTTTATTCTAAGCAATGAGAAACGCTAGTTAGCTTCTATTCACATTGCTGCTCTTATCCAGCAGTTAAGTGCCTTGCTCAGGGGCAGAGTGACAGTAGCTGGCGAGGGAATGGAGAGTGGTTTTCATTCGTTCGTTCGGCAGCCTTCCAGTGAAAACCACACAGCTTTCACCTTTAGGCAACCGCTGCCCCTGATATATATTTAAGTGCAGGCTGCCTTTAGCTAAACACACACACACACACACACACATATACACTCACACTCACAGGGCAACACGGCCACACACCATGTGTACAAGCCAGATTTGGCTTCGTCCTCATGCCTGCCATACGGTTGATTCCTCCCCACTGTGCACACGCTGCAGGCCAAACACACAGCACTTGCGTGTGGTGTGTGTATGTGTGTGTGTGTGTGTGTGTGTGGTAGCAGAGACTGAGAAAAGAAAAGGGAAGCAAATCAAACTAGGAGAGAGAGAGCAGGCATATATTTTACCAGGAAGAACTATTTCAGGGGGAAAAAAATTACCTGCCTTGCACACATGACTTGTTAACATCATGTTTTTTTGTGCAGTAAAATCATCTGTGTGCTCTGTACTAGATTTTACAGGTCACATGTGTGTTATGACCTTGATGTCTTATATATTTTGAGTACTACATTAATTTTTAATAAGCATGTAAGGCTTTAACAATGCCTCATCTAGCCTTCGACACATGTAATGTGATGCCTGTAATGCAGAAAACAAGGTGGCTAAATTTAAAAGCACGCCTTTTTCCTCACAAATTATGCCTCCGAGTCACAATTTGTTACTACTTTTCAAATCCTTGGAGAGGCTAAGGAAAAAGATGTGCCCAGAAGGGCACCTTTCTGTTCAACTCTAGAGGTGAGCAGAAAGGAACCAACTGCCTCACCAGCAACTCATTTTGAATGCCGGGAGGCATCTCATCAACCCATATCAATGCCTGTGTGGTCAGTTTACTTTCCCTCTGCATAAAGGAGCGTTTGATTACCAGGCTAAGCACAGGATTGTAATGAAATGGTAGCATTTGGAAGCTGCAGGATTTCATACATACAGAGATAACATTTTTAGTGAAACAAATCCAGGAGTGGAAAACAGGATGTCCAGGAGTGGACAGGTTTGAAAATTCAGCTGGAAATTAGTGACGTGAATGCACATTGTTTCCACATCTAAGCAGCATTTTCAGACTTAAATCATACTGGCATAAATGTCACGTAGAGGAACCGCTGATGCTCCTTTACATGAAACGAGGCTGACTGTGCATAGGTGAACCACATAGGCAGACAAGCAGCTGGTGTAGTGTAAACAGCACCCAGTGCACATCCACCATGAACCCTGCTGCCAACATCTGTGTCCATTATGGACTATGTCAGCAACTTAAGCCAGCATAGTGCAAACTGAGACTAAACAGAATAACCAGGTTGTGTCTGCACCACAGGTGGGCCGCAAAAGACCATATTTAAGAGTTCTAATGCCATTTAACCATTTCATTATTGGAAAAATTACACATTCACACGTAAACAGCACCTCGTCTGTTTTTCTGCCTCACTGTGGACACGACCTCCCAATGTATTTCAATGGGAAGAAGGATTTGTGTCTACATTGTCTATGTTTTTGAGGCTTCTCTAAGGGGGGCACATTACAGCTTTGAAGAACGTGACACTGTATCCAAAACCTCTGGTCTTAGTTCTGGTGCCTACACCTAACCGAACAGCAAGAAAAAGCACAACTCACATGTAAAAGCCCTTCCAAATAAAATCCAAAACTCACTGGGTTTCAAACTGTATTGTGAGTAATAATGTGTAAAAAATCTTCACACGCATGGATACAAACTGGAGGATAAAAGTTGGTGTCCATGTAAGCAAGAAAGGGGGGGGGAGGAAAACAAAACAATGGATTCAATTTTGTGACTGTTTCACATAATGCGGGAATGTGTTGTGAGCAAAGACCTTGACAAGTCAGTATAAACCTTTATGAACACTTAACGTTCCACCGAGACATTTGAATGATAGCCTAATACAATAAACAGGGACATACAATAAAGCATTATTTAAAATGTATGTGGGCAAGGGCTGAAAAGCTCGAGAAAGCAAAATCAAGATGCAAACTGCAGAGGAGAATGTGAGGAAAGAAAGAATGAGGGTGGATAGACAGCAGTCTCTGTGAACCTGCATAGACAAGCTCAGTCAAGCTGCTTTGGTGAGAGAGGGAGAGAAAGCAAGGGTGTTTTGACAGCTCGGAGCCATCACAGCAGCAGAAGGCAGTCTATGCGTGTGTGTGTGATTGTGTATGTGTGTGCGTTTTAGTCTCTGTGGGTGCAGGTGGTTGCGTATCTGTGCACGTACTGTACTGGTGTGTCGGTGTATGTGTATGCGTACATGCACACGAAAGACTAAAGGCAGAGACAGACAGTGACGTTTCTTCTGATTCAGAGACAAAGAGGGGGAAAAGGAAAGTGTAGCACAGAGGCTGGATGAAGGACAAATACATTTTTTTTTAAAAGATCTGGGGCTGTGTCTGTGTGTGGTGTGTATCATATTGAGTATACATATTGATATGTGTCAGGAAGCCTTCAAGCAGACCAAACCCTCTCATTAGAGGGTCGTTGATGAGCAGACTCTTGCTTCACCATTTTCTCACCTGTTTGACATTATTTCCTCTCCCTTCCATCTCCGTAGACGCAGACAGAGCAAGCATAAACTCTTTGTGAGCCTAGACCTACTTCACCTTCACACACCTCCACACAGTCACACTGGGATCTGGCCTGAACAAAAAACACTCTTCAGCAGCTGCCACTAAACGACTCAGGAGCGGCTGGAGGTGAGATGTTTTGCTCAAGGGCACCTTGTCTTGAAGTGAATGCCTTTTTCTTCTTCTTCTTGTGTTTGAAAACGGGAACCGCTGTTAAGCACCGGTGGCCCTACAGTTGCAAACCTGTGCTTTTTGCTACGATTGCAGTCGCAGTCGACTGTATTTGCATTTGCTTATTTGTATCATGATTAACTGTTTTGTCAGAGCATCAGGGTATTGTGAAAAAAAATACATTAAATCTGCAATGACTAATTTTGATGGCTACAACAGCAGATATGACATAAGCAACTAATGTGTATAAAGTATGTTAGCTGCTGTGGCTGCGTTTTGTTCTATTCTCTCTTAAGACGATCCCACACTGCTTCAATAATGTTGAGGTACAAGCTCTGAAGTAGCCAATCCATGACCGGTAGTGTTTCACTGTGCATTTTTATTTTGCCAGGGAGTTGCCAGCTGTAGCCAATCAGATGCTTTCCAGATGGTGGTTCAAAAGTTGACAGTACCTTTTTGCATTCATAGTTCTGTCATTTCTAATGAGGCTTCACTGAACAGTGGATGGATCAACTGAAGGGCAAGACCTCAGGTTATGTGTCAGGTCAATGATGGATTTTATTTCCTACATAACTTTCATATGATACTGTTAATCTACTGTGGATAGTTTTTCAGGCCTGCCACTTTTTCTTTTGTCCTCCATTTGTTCGCCTTGCTCAAATTTTAAGCACACACTCCACACCATGCTGAGATGTGCCATGTTGGTGCAAAAATACTATTTTATGCTTGTCAAATGGTTTCAAACTTATTCACAGAACTGTGTTAAGTAGCTTAGCAATCAAAATCATTCCTCTGAATATAGTCAGGTACAGGGACTAGACCGAAAATGAGTGAATACACTTTGAAATATTTTCAGAATGCCTGGAGAACTATTCTTCAATACCACCTTAAAAATGAAAAGAAAGTCTGGCTCCATGGAATCAAAATATAAAGACATAAAGGGTGACTTTTGTACTGTACTTATCAGTTAAACTGCAAAGCAAGCCCTTATAAGGTCATTAATAATTAATGCTAAATAAGATGAAATGGCACTCCTATGCTCACACGCCTAAAAAATACATAAATGAAAGCCTTAAAATATAATTAAACACTGCTGTCAAAAAAGAGGCCACAAATATAATTAATCGCATTTTTTGTTAAAAATATTGATTACAGTAGCTTTACAGTTAGGGTTAGCTGTGATATGATCTAAGCTACTATTGCATATCTGCAACATACAAAACATACAGTGCTACATATGGCGTTTGAAGAAGAGTCCAACAATTTTGAGGGAATAAAAACAGGCAAAAAGATTTATCAACAGTTTGCCTCATACAGTCTCATTGTTTCTCCTTCCTGTTTGCCAGACAACCAATGCACATGAGTAAACAGGGAGAGTGAATGTTTGCTGCTTGTCAAGCACGCACACGCACGTGCGCTCAAGTGTGTGTGTGTGTGTGTGTGTGTGTGTGTGTGTGTGTGTGTGTGTGTGTCAGAGAGAGAAGATGGTTGTCCTTTTAAGAGGGCCAAACGATGGAAGGATTCGGGGTTTGTGTGTGTGTGTATTAACAATGTACCCTCATGTCCCCTGTGTCAAAGCCTGGCTAAATCAAGTGAATCATGCTGTGTGTGTGTGTGTGTGTGTGTGTGTGTGTGTGTGTGTGTGTGTGTGTGTGTGTCAGGCCAGATCAATATGAACTAATCAATAGGAGAAGACAGCTAGAAGGACCTTGGGGACTGCGGATACGCACCTGGTGCACACACGCACGCACAGTCTCCTCTTTGTATTCCACGCTCAGTTTCTCTATTTATCTTCTCTCGCTCCCCTTCCCATATCTCTTTCTCACTCTTACATTAGTCTCTTTTTAGAATATCTATTTTCTCTTTCGCGTAGTTCGAGCTCTAATCATGTATACACCTGTATGTCGCTGCCTAATTTACTCTTTGTCCGGTAACAAACCTGGTAAGGCGGGTTTCTTTAAGTTTGATCATATCAGTTGAACCATATCAATTCATATGTTTCAACTGATATTTCAAAAGATATATATTATAAATCTGCCATCACTCACCTGCTGCCATGCATCTCAATCCATGCTTTATTGCAATGAGCTGCAATTATTCTGATCAAAATGTTTGTAATAAATTGCTATTATTTGGGGAAGAATTACACCCTTTGTCAGAGTGTCAGAATATTCATTTCCTCTGACGGGTTTTAGGTTTTGTCCAGCCTGGTCTTGAATTTTGGTATCTATGGTACCAGTATTGACTTAAATTCTCAACACTGACCACATGTGGTACTTTTCTGAAAAAAGAAATAAGAGAAACTATCCATCTTCTTCTGCTTAGCCAACTCAGGGTCACAATTTGAGACTATACCAGCTGTCATATGGCAAGAGGAGGGGTATATCCTAGAGAGGTTGCCAATCTATGGCAACCATTCGTGCTCACATTCACACCTACGGCCAATTTAGAATCACCAATTAACCTAATATTGCATGCATGTCTTTGGACTGTGGGTGCATGCACACAAACTCCGAACAGAAACGCCCCAGCTAGTTCATGGAGTCAATCCCTGTGAGGCGATGTTGCTAACCACCAAAGAAAAACTAATATAAATATTATTATTATGCAAATAGAAATATATTCAATTTAAATAGACATTACTCAAACGTATTGTCAGAACTATTAAAAAATGGATGTCTTGAAAAACTTTCAAAATAAAACATTCCAAGGACATAAATTATTTAAATAGCATTTTGTAATATTTAAAGCCTTACAGCTTTTCTTTTTTTTCCCACACAAAAAACCCAAAGGTCCAGCAATAATGCTGGACAAGTGCAAACAGTCGGAAAGATTTCCAGTGTGAATCTCTTTTCCTCCCATAGGACTTCTTACAGATCCACGCACGCACGCCTACACATAGAAACCAATCAAAACCCCCATATTTCTTATAAAGTGTGAATCAAGCGTTTACCAAATCCTGAGTTGACAGGCTGCTTATCAGCAGGGACATTACAGCTCTGGTGGACTCACTCTGGTGAGTCTGAGGCACTTTGAGTTAAATTCGCTCAGCATGCAAATTGGGAAACTATAATTCATTTACAGGGAGATAAGAGCACTCCTCTGTCTCAATAATGCCTTTATATACTGAATATTAAATAACTGTTTGATGGAGATTTTCTCATGGTTTAAATGTCCACTTCCAGGGTTAATTGAAATGAACAGGGATAGACCAGTACTCTGAACCAGTTTACACCTTCGCAGGCTAATTTTTAAGAATTCCCTTGTGATTGGATCACTTCAGGGTCCCTTTTGCTTTTGATCATCCTGGTCTTTTTCTGTATCTTACTATTCACTATCCCCGCCTTTTTGTTTAACAACAGCATTCACTCGAGCTTTCCCCTCTGTGCACAACCAGATAACCCATGGTAAGAGCTTCCTGAAGGCTTGGCTTACCTTAGTCTTCACGTGCACCTATAAATATGTTATAAGACTGTGATGGCTTTGGAGGAACAACAGTGTCAACAGTGTCACAGAGTTCTTGCAAAGCTTGAAGAGTTTGGAATTGCTTTTCTTAGTGTGCATCATGCTCCCAAAGATGCAAACACGATTGCTGTGAAGGTGGGGAGTGGGAGCACAGTCCGGTCGCTGTGGGTGTTCAGCTCCAGAGTAGCAAAACATACCCAGATTTTAGCATTCAGTCTGGGTTCAATAAACTGCTGTATTATTATCTCTCCTAACCCATCTGTTACTGGCTTTATTCCCGAAATAAACATGGATTTATCAGTCAGTCGCACTGTTTCTTTCCCCCAGTCAGTTGCTGTGAAATGCTGGTCTGAGCCCACCCCAAGCATTTGTCTTGTGTCCTCTTCAGAAAAGCGGTTTAGAGACTGCTGCTCATCCTCTGAGACCACTGCTAGATGGGCTTCTTTTTGACAGGACTTTTGCACATAGCTTGCATTCTTTATTTAGTGGATTCTGTATATTTGATGCAGCTGCTTTTCTATCTCTCAGCGAACAAGGTTTGATGTATTGATCTTCCGAAGATGTGACTTGTGTGTGTATGTGTGTGTGCCTAATCATATAGTGGAACCAGTTTGTGTAAAGGGTTTTAGAGCGTCCTAACCTTGCCCTTTAGAAACCTTCAGTGTAGGTGAGCCAGCATCTCTTAAAACAAATACGCTTAATTCCCTTCTCAGTGAGAGCTAGTCAATCCCAACATTGCTGACTTCACTTTCACAAGAGCATTAACAGTCCATGCATATACCTGAGTCCAGCCCGTATCGCAGTGTGCTGCATTAAAGGGCTACTGCATGTATTTTGTATTTTTTTTAACTTCCTTTATAGAAGGAAAGCTCGTGATTACTATTCTAATACCAGTCACCTCTGACTGGAGTTGTAGGTTTTTATCAAGACCACTAATGCCAAAGAAAGCTGGTCTCCACACCTCTGATGTTAAAGTCTGAGGAGATTTGTTGTGTTTTTATTTTTCAGCCTTGAATTTTCGTAGCTATTGCATCAATATAGATTTTTGGATCTCAACATGTTTGCGCTCTCTGGTGAAAAACTGCCCATACTCCAAGAAACTTGCCTGAATCTTTTTTTTTCTCTCTTTCTTTTTCATAGCTATTGCACCTCTGCAGTTAAAACTGGCTTTTAAAACATAACGCATAACTTTTAGGGACATTTAAAGTGTCTAATATATGCATTTTAAGGTTAAAGCTCACCATTTTCTGCCATGCCGTTTCTACATTGTTAAATACATGTTTCACTGTCTGCAGTAACGCAGGTATCTGTGATGGCATCACTTTCAGCATCTTCCTCCTGCCCTCTGTTGCCCTCTAAAGACTCCCACCCCCCAAAAAACATCTCTGAAAAGTCATTTTAATGGAGGGAAATCTGCTCCATTGCGCAGTGCTCCCTGTCAAACACGTGTTAAACCCCATCGACTGCTGCTGCAGTTCTCTGTCTCCCTTTCTGCCCGCTTCCCACGTTTGAGAAAAGCATGACAAATTTTTTTAACAAAATAAAGAGAAAGAAAAAGTTTTCACTTTATTGATGCTTGAATGACAAGTTCAACTGACAGGAAGGTACGGAGAGCTGGCAGAGAGGAACACACACACAAAGCGAGTGTCTACGCACATGCATTATGCACGCGGGCCTTCAATCATACGTATGCGGGAAGACAAGCACACACAAGCACACCACACCACCCACGCTCCCAACACACTGTCTCACCTGACAAATTAGAATGAGTGCGAGCCTGTTGGTTTTTGACTTTGCAGGTATCTGTCACATTTCTGTCAGAGCTTCACGTGGTTTCACATCAAGACAAAGAAAGGCTCTCTCTCACTCTCTCCCTCTTTCTTTTCCTCTCTCCGTCCTTCGCCTCCTTCCTGCCGTTCTCCGTGTGGAGCAGAAATAGGGAGCAGAAGTCAGCATCACATGCTGCATAATTCTCAGTCTTCCAATTGTAATTGCCAAGGCTTTCATAAAACATTCAGCGACAACGTCCATGTTTTGATTTTGAATAAAGCAACATCTTATGTTTAAAATGAAAGATTTAGTATGTTGTTTTCCTTATCCAATCTGTCGGAAAACAGCACAGAATGGCTTGTCTGGCAAATGTAACGACGCTGATCATTTTCTTAACATAGCTCTTGCTTAAATATCTTTATAAAAACTCTATACTATATAGCCATAATGATGATGACGGACTGAAAATTCAAAGAGCCCACAGCGGTATATGACCTGATAACAGCATGTGGGAGATTAATAAAAAGTTGAACACCCAGAGGATCTAAGATTGAAGAGTGATTTATTGCTTTAGTCACTGTGAAATGATTATCAAATATGCAAAAAGTCCTCTTTTATTTTAATCATACGTTGAATATGTCCGGGTTTTGACAGCTGGGGAGCCAATAACACGCCATCTGGGTGTCACTGAGTGCTTGCATAACTTGAACTGATTCTTTACGCCACACTACCAGAATATGGCAATGTAGCTCTTTTGTTTAGTCACCCAATTTGTGCACAGTGAAATATCTCAAATGCAACAAGTGTGCAGTGGCATAAAACAGTGGAAGCACTTATTGTCCCCAGAGGATTCACTACAAAGTAGCAGTGTGTTACAGTACTGTGCAAAAGTTTCGAGTTACATTTCATTTCTTTATATTTTGCAAGAAAATTTGGAAAGTAAGCGCACAGATTTATTGAAGCATGTGTGAACATACCCAGAAATACAATATAGAAGGCAAAAACAGAGTTTGTGCAACCCTAATGAGCTTGAAGGTCAATGTTTGCGATTGTTTGACCACCTTTATTCTCCAACACACCCTAAACCCTCTTAGACAAACTTTGACCTTTCGTTAAATAGTCTTCAGGAATAATTCTTCAGGTTTCTCAAAGGACATTCAAAGCTCTTCTTTGGATGTTGGCTGCCCTCTGTTTTGTCGTGTCTCAAGATGATCCCACACTGCTTCAGTAATGTTGAGGTCCAGCTACGGGAGGACAATTGATTACTAATTATTTTCTTTTTTTCACACATTTGGGATCATTGCTTTCTGAAAGATGAAGCTGTTATCAATCCAGATGGTATTGGAACATCAAAATATGATGTTTTTTCTGCATCCATAATTCTGTCAATTCTGACGACATCGCTGCACTCACTGTTGTACCTTTCTCCTGACCTCCGTGCATATTGTGATAATTTGAGGTGAAATGTTCAGATTTAGATTCTACCTCTTGTCCCTGAAAAGTATTCTTCTTAATAAAACTTAAGAAGTTTTGCCTAATAATAAATACTAAGATTTTTATCAGTGAGTTTCTCCAGTTTGTTTGTTTTCCTCAAAGGAATAAGGGGATCCTGTCTGGTGATCCCACTATTTTACCTTTAGCACCTCTAGGAAATTATACCTTAATCAGCTGATTGGCTCGTAATAAAAGCAGACATTTGCTGCAGTCGAAAACCAAATTTAAAAAAAAAAGTAAAAACTAAGATGAAGACATGAAAATGTTAGATGTGTGTCTTTAGAGCAGTTAGAACCACAGACTCGCCTCTGTCTAGCAGGCAAAAATAATCAAATTCATTTGTTAGGAAGGTTTTTCACTAATTCATCAGTTACAGGTTGGATAATGTCAGTGTTCCTTCTTTTCCTGTAAAAGTTAGATTTTCAGAAGTGGAAAAAAACTCTTTTGACTTATCCCTAACGTCTTACCTTTGTAGAAAAGCAGCTCATTCCTTTGATAGGAATGTGCAGCAGAGGTGTGTGTGTGCCTCGTGTGCAACTGAAAATAATTAGCTGGTCTACTGGGCAAAAAAAGCACAACTGTTTTTTTATTTTATTCTTTTACATAGGTCATTTTAATATGTGTGTGCACACGTGTGTGTTGAGCCAGATATTGTTGGAGCGTGTGTGTGTGTGTGTGTGTGTTTGTGTGCGCACAGACGGTATTTTAACATGGCTAGCCGACTTCTTGCAGCCCACAGTTAAACAGTGACTCACAGATTCCTCTCTCCCTCTCATTCTCTTTCTCACCAACCTCAACTTTTTCTCATCTGTTTCTTTCCCCGTTCCCCTCCTCAATTTTTACCACTTCTCTACTTTTCTATCTTCCTCTCTCTGCTTTACTGCCTTGCTGCTGTTCCTATCTACAGGTTGGGTGCTGACTACAGCAGACTGTCGGACAGAGGTGCTTTTTCTTCCGCTTCTCTGCCTCTTCCCTGACTATGCCAGCTTTAAAACCAGTAAGTTACAGTAAAACCACACCATCCCCCCTCTGCTCTTTTAATGCTATTTTTGACCAACACCGGTTCTGAAAAGTGTGTACAGTATGTGCATGGATGCCTAAATCAGAAGCAGCAGTACATGTTCTTGACTGGAGCTGCTGGTTTAAAAAAAACGTTTCCTGAAGCACATAGACACACTGAGCCCCCGAGGGCCCCGGGGACAGCTCTACAGCAGACGGTAGAGCAGTCCACTGTACCTCAGCGACACCTCAACACCAGGTGCCACAAAGAGGAGGAAGGAGGCAGGGATGGTGGGGAAAGAAATGAGAATTGTAAGGGGGGGGGCTGAAGAATGAGAAAGATAAGAAAGGAGCACTAAAGGAAAAAGAGAAATAAAGTTGGTGGTGAAAAGAGAATGACAAAGGTAAGATAAGAATGGGAAGTAGAGAGGTGAGAAGACAGGAAGGAAATAAGGCTTCAAAATAAGTTGACAAGAAGAATAAGAAAAAAAGGCGAGGATGAAAGCTGACCAGCAGACAGGCAGAGATCTAAAAACAGGCCAGAAAGACAGACAGACAGACAACACAGCAGACGGGAGAGACAGAAGCTGTTGCAGCCAAAGGCATGTGGGGGAGGGCAGTAGCACTCCGCTGCTAATATCCCTGCTGCTTTGTTGTGAAAAACCCCAGTTCGCCTTTTAATGGCGAACTATTCCTTTAATGATAGCAGTAAAACACTCTCGCACACATACATAACACCGTTCCTCTCCACCTGACAGGAAATGTGGTTCAGAGCGCAACGTGACAAGTCACAGTTCAACTTTTACAACTTGCAGGCCAAACACACACACACACACACACACACACACACACACACACACACACACACACACACACACACACACACACAAAACAGATTTCAAAAGCAAAAACAGCACTATGAATAGTATGAAAAGGTTTTCCCAGTGACCTATATGCAGCAGAAATGTTGGTTTTGTCTGATTTAAGTGCCTGTAAGTTTTTGAAGTAACTTTGTTTGGGAGCTGTCAGTCATACAGGCAGGCAGGCAGGATCTGTGAGGGGGAAGAGACAATCTCACTGAGAGGAAGCTACAACATGTTCTTTACATGAAGTCCTTTTCATCCGAGCTTCCTACAGTGCACACGCTGCTTTGCCCGAGCGCAATGCTGAACCTTTAGGATCCACGACAAAGTGAAAACCTGAGGAGAGTGGTGGTAGTCAGGTGATCAGCCTTTTGTGATATTCATCAACAAGGATAAGTAGAGCTTAAAAGCATAGCAGTGGCTCTCAATGTTATTCTGAAGCTGTAAATTCCTCTTTGTTAGCCATGTGGATCAATCATGTCTGGACATTTGGTTTTGCTGGCTAAAGAGAGATTATATCATTAAGCAACCATAGAAGATAGGACCTTGGATTGGATGTGGAAATTACAGCTATTTTAATTTGTAAGCTAGCATGCAGTTTTAATTGACTTAAACCGAAGCAGACAAGCTTCTTCTCCCAAAAGCTAACATTCTTGTGACCCTAACTATGTCCTATAGTATAGGATCAGGCAGGAGCCAAACTGTTCACTGCTTTTTAAGATGGATTATAAATGATGCACGTGTCATGTGCAAAAAACGAACCAAAACTGCAGGAAGAGGGGCGGCTTTTCCTGCTGTGCATTTGTACAGTTATTACCAAAGAGAAGTGCAACTGTCCTAAAGGAGAGTGTGCAGTCAGAACATTCAGTGCAAATGAGCTCACATGTTTAGTTTTTACACAAATCACGATATCTTCATGCAAGTTACTTTACTGTTCATGAAAACACTGGTATAACCTGGTTTTTGTACTTGCAGTCTATGCACAGAGTGATATATCATGCCTTATAAGCACATAATGCTGAACACCCAGGATTTAAACTCACTCAGCTCTCTCTCTATTTGTTCAAAATGCAAATTGAGTCATTCTGTACAATAACATTCATGTTTGTATTCTCCTAAATTATTGATGAGATTTTGTTTTTAATTGAGAAAAAAAACCTTCAATATTTTAAAGTAGGAAGGGCCGATGCCTCTTAGTTCTTCCGGACAACCTCCAGGGACTTACAGCAAAACAGTGAGGAGCAAGCAGATATAATGTTAAAACATGAGAGCTCTTCACTGTGTTCGTGTGTCCCCCAGTAGCACCCAGCAGCGGGGGGCTCAGGAGCAGAGTCTGACCTTTGACCTCCCTATGGAGTGTAGTGGACAAAAAGGGATTTTCCCTGTAGGGATTACTAAAGTATTGCATTATCATTTGAATGTAGCTGATTGCATCTTCGTCAGTCTACACTTCAGCCTGCCGACCTTTCTGTAGAAACCCACGAAATGACCTTCTCTTCCGTATCTGCTCGGTAAAGATCTGCATGCACAAATGTCAAATGATAAAGAAACAATTAGTTGCGTTGTACGTCTCCCACTTCTATTCATTAAACAGCATCCAAGCTACATTTTATCTCAGTGTCACACCTCTTTTACTTTACTCCTATGGCTTCATGTCGCCTTGCTGCAGCATGTAGGAACTCCTAATCTAACTCAGGCATTTAGCACATAAACACACATTTTCTGGTAGATTTAAAGTAACACTAATGCAGGGTCAAATTACATCAGCAACAGTAGCTCATAGGTCCTGTCATTCTGTGGCTGACAAACAGGTTTGAGATGCTTCTGGGACAAAGCTGCTCAAAATGTCACAGACTGCGTCTCTCTTTTTTCTTTCTTTTTTCCACATCTCAGTGTGCACTGGTTGCAGCGTTATTGCACAAGACCAAAGGCCAGCTAAAGCAAACTTAAGAAACAGCAAACACTGGCATTCTGTGAGTGTGTGTGTGTGTCTTTCTTTCTGTCTTTCTCTGTCCCTGTGGTCAACAATCCCTCTGCTGGCCTTTATCCCCAAATCCCCATGGACAGAGAGTCAGGGGAGAGGGAATGCTTAAATGCTTTGAATGATGGTGTGGAATGCCTAAAAAGCAGTCTGTGTGTGTGTGCGTGTGTGCATGGTGGTAAGTGGGGGGGGGGGGGCAAAGTAAGGGGAGAGGGCTCTCTTGCCTGGTCTAGGATCTGGTATGCGTGACTGAACAAGAGGAGGAGAAAGAGAGGAAGAGAAGAAAAAAAAAAAAGCACCCAAACCTGCCTTTCTAACTTCTAAAGGGAGACAATGGCTACTGACTGGCCTGGCAACCCCCTATGTGTGCGTGTGTGTGTGGTGTCACTTCACACACAGGACACGTCCTGATGGAAAGCAGAGAAGAGGGAGATCTGCTCTAACCAACTTTTAGATCTCATTACGCCGCACATGCAGCTGCACAGACGCAGCTCTGCCACATGTGAAGTAAAACACTGCGAAAAGGATCCAGACTAAATGCCCCAAACCCTTCATTTAAACCAGGAAATCCACCAAATACACCCCCACCCCAAAAAAACCCCCTGAGAGTTGCATCTGGAACTCAGTTAAGCTAAACACCTTTTGGTAGCGTTGTAGAGGACAAAAAAGAAAACAAAACAGACGTTTATGATTAGAAAAAATCAGCAGGGTAGAACAGTTTCCTGCAATAAACGCCTTGGTGATAATTAATTACACAGGCCCTGGCAGCCAAATCAAGACGGCAAGCATCCATTTTGAATCTGCTCATAAATAATAAAACAACACAAGAGAAATTTTTTCAGCCCTTTTGAGAAGCAAGACAGGACTGATGAGGGACAATGCTTAGAGATGCGTGGGCGATTATTGGGAGTAGTGTATGAAAATAAGAGACCTTATTGTCTTAAATGCGCCTGAATATGGAATATATCTTTGTAGGACAAGAGCAGAGCAGTTGTGATTGTCTTTATGGGAAACAAGATTAAAATACCTTGTGGGTATTTTTTTATATTCCCCCTCCGAAAAAAACAAAACAAAACAAAACAGAAAACAATGGAGCGCTACACCTACACAAAAGTAATCCACACCGCTCTCGTTCGTTCATTATATAAATATCTTTAATTGTTTTAACCGTAAGAATATAAAACAATTTAATTTTGGGATTCTGCATTTTTTTTCTCTTTACAAACACATAATATACAGTACATCTTTTTATTGTCAAACACACGCACGCACACTCACTCACACACAGCTTTTTCAGCAGGACGCACATCCGTAGATTAATTTTCTAGCAGGTCATTGCATTACATTAAAAACGCGCACACACTGGCGTCGGTGTGCGTGCGCGCGTGTGCATGTGTGTACAGCCTAAATGCATGTGTGTGTGTGAGAGAGAGAGAGAGATGGGGAATAGCGAGGTGGAGAGAGGGTGAGTGAGTGAGTGAGAGAGACGCAGTCTGCTTGTAACCAGAGACGGGAAGGGAGAGAAAGAAAAATAATCGATTACTCCTTATTCTAAGCATGTCTCAAAATGGATTTGGGGTATTTTTATTCAGGGGGATAAGGGTGAGAGATGGTAGGAAAAAGAAGAGGGTATAAAAAAACAAAAAAAACTCCTCCTCCTCTCTATATACCGGTGAGAGCAACGTGAATATGAATGTGTCGGTATAAACGTGGGAAAAGAAAAGCCACAAACCCTGATTTGTTTCCACGAATAAAGGCTAAGATATAGAAATCACTTCAATTTGAAGTACGACGCTCTGAGCAACATTCACTTGACATTTATCTCCACCAGCATCCCTTTCACAACAAAAATACCTACAGCCTAATAATCCTGTAAGGACATACACTGGGTTTTTAACGATGGTCCGATCATACCTTTAACATGCATCTATCGTTATAGAATCACTACAGGTATAGGCTTGCAATCGCATCTCCTTTATATTGATCAAAGCTTGAATGCAATGCATCTCTAAAAGGGTGTAAAGTTGGACTTTATCCCTTTAAAAAAAAAAAAAAAAAAGGAAGATTTTAACAATATAAAAAGCTCTTGCACTCAAGCAGGTTTTTAATGTATTTTGCATAAAGCGACATCCTCTCACTCTCTGACTGGATCTGACAGCCCGCCTTCCCCTTTCCCCCTCTCGTGGCTCTCTCTGGGAAATTGCTCTTGTTTATGGGGGTAAATTAACAAAGGTAGTTAGATTGTGTCCTGGTCTCCTTTCTCTAGCTCTGCTCAGGGAAGAGGGAGGGAGGGTAGAGAGAGGCGATGGAGGGATGGGGGAGGGGGCAGACACAAGTCCCTTTAGGCACATTTTCTCCCAGTCTCTCTTTCCTTCTTAACAGTATACACCCTTTGAAAATAACCACATACGAGGTAGCCAAATGTTTTTTTGTGTGTCTGTGTGTGTGTTGGGTTTTTTTTGTTGTTTTTTTTAGGCGTGATGGCTGTAGCGGAGATTAGTCGTAAATGCCTCAGACTCACTGCAAAAATAAAAGTCCCACATTGAAGTTTTAAAACCTCTGTTTTTGACTTTTAAGGATGGATAAAAGTTTTCGCATCCAGAATTTTCTGGAAGCAAGTGTCAGGAAGAGAAGCCGATTCTTCCATTAGGGAAAACGACACCTGATTGGAAACAAAATCTGGCAAACAAGCTGAAGTTATTCTAGTCCCAAGTCCAGTTTTTGTGAGGTCTTAAAACTCGATTTGAGACCAAAACAATGCGTTTAACACGGATTTTCGTGAGCTCATGACAGAAGTTTTGAATTGCTTTCTGCCAGGCTGAATATTGGAGTCAAACACTGATTTCAGTCCTGCAAGGCCAACAGAAAGAAAAATAAAACATTTTGAGCATACATCCTGGTCACATGGGAGAAGCACACCTTACAAAGAAGGGGAAAAAAGGAAGGATTTCTCTCTTTTTAAATAAGAAAAACTTCTCTGCCCACACATCCCTCCCTTTTCCCGCTCTGTCTCCATCCAAAAAAGAAAAATAACACACACTCCCAAAACAAAAACAAAAAACCAAGCATTTCCAATCACCTCACTTTCTCACTCTCTGTCATCTGCCAGAGTCCCAGGTTCAACACTTTAAGGCAGGGGAGCTGTGTGATCCTCTCCAGTCCCCTCTTGGTGATCTTGGTACATCCATACAGGTCGATGCCCACCAGCTGGGTGAGGTGGTCCGCTATGAGCTCCAGCCCTTTGTCCGTGATGCGCACACACTGTCCAATGTTAAGGGTCCTCAGCTCGTGCATCTGCCTCACCATCCGGTTTATCCCGTCGTCGGAGATGTGACACGAGCACAGAGACAGGGACTTGAGCTGGTACAACCCCTGAGCGATGTACGCCAGAGTCTGGTCCCCTATCTTGTCACAGAACGAAACATCAAGCCCAGAGAGTCTTAGGGTCCCCATAGCAAGGTGCATTGTCCCCGTGTCGCTTATGTTGTCACAGGAGCGTAGGTTGAGGCTCCACAGGGAAGTCATATGTGAGAGGTGGATCATCCCTGCGTCTGAGATCCCCCCACAGAAGCTCAGGTTCAGTACCCGGAGCTTGGTCAGCCCCTTGGAAATGTGTTTGAGTGACAGGTCTGTCAGTTTCTGACAGTCTTGGAGGGTTAGGTACTCCAAGTTCAAGCAGCCCTCTGCTGCACTACGGGTCATGCCCGCCAAATGTCCAATCCCCACATCTGAGACATGTCTGCAGGACCTCAGATTGAGGCTCTTGAGTCTGTGGAGGCCCCAGGCTATCAACAGAAGCCCAGTGTTGGTGATGTTGCTGCAGCCACCAAGCTCCAGCACCTCCAGGTTCTTCAGATACTGAGCAATCCTCCCTAGACTAGAGTCTGTTATCTGCTTGCACAGACTTAGGTTCAAAACCCGAAGTGATGGGATCTCCTGCACGAACGCATGGCCCAGCCCGTTATCCGTGAGGTTGTAGCAGCCGGACAGATTGAGGGACTCGATGTTTGGCATTCCCTGGATGACATAGCTCAGGCTGCGGCGCAGAGACAGGATCTGGACCCTCCGGATGCCCCTGGCCTGGAGGCTGGGGAATAAGGAGGGATTCGCCCGGCGGAGGTGCAGCTTGGCTTCCACCCCCCTCCACACTGACTTGTGGTAGGATGCGTCCCTCCAAGCGATGCACACTTGGGCTACCCTGCCTTTGTCCCTCACGTCCAGATAACTGAAAATCATTGCCAAAATTTCTGGGAAGAGGCACGAAATGTGCGTCTCCATTGTTTTTCAAAACCCAGGCATATAAAAATTAATACTCCACACCTCCAAGGCTTAAAAGAAAAACAGAAGACTCAACTCAATCACACCCTCCTCTCGCACAAAATGCAAAAGTATCAACAGTCCCAGCTATCCACAGAAGTAAAAAAAAAAAAAGAAAAAAGAAGAAATTGGAGTTGTGTGTTTCTCTCTTTTTCTCACACTGAACTGTGCAAAATCGATCAAACTCCCTCCAGTGCCACGTGATCCGGTCTGGTTGCGCAGTAGGATTCAAATGTATTAAAAAAGAAAAAAGGGGGAAAAAAACAACAAAAAAGAGCGTTTATTCCTGCCTCAACCCCTCTCTCCGCCAAAAAGAGGAGAGGGGGCGAAAGGAAGAAGGAGGAGGAGAGGAGGAAAAGCGTCAATCCTTCCCCCTCTCGCTCCCTCTCTCAGACGACGCTTCCTTGTATTATACCTACAAAAAGCCTTCCTCTCTCCGCCGTGCGAGGATCCAGACGGTCATACATTTCAGATTAAGAAAGTAAAAACAAAACCAACTCGCTTACCGACACGTATTAAGAAGCGACCCCATGGTAGAAAAGCAAAAAAGATAGAGTTGGAGCGGCTTTATAGGCAGAGCGAGAGAGAGAGAGAGGGGCGTCCTGGGCTCAAAGCCTTTGTCTGCTCTTTTCAAACCGACTTGGCAGGGACCCCAGCACTCTAGCTGTACCGAAGGGGTGGAGGGAAGTAATAATATCACCCTCGTCTCTTTAAAAGGTATTTAACGACAACCACCGTTACTACGGGCGTTTTAATAGCAGGTCGTTACACCGAAACGTTCTTACAATGATTTAATAGCAGATGTAGCTTGAAATTAATTCGCTATTTTATCGACCCACCCCTACCCCCTCCGTGTCACACAGTTGGTTTGTCCCGCCTCAGCTGGAACGGTGCGAACAGTTTCCCTTGGAAACCAACTTCTTACAATTCAGTTCACTTTGGGCTTTAACCCTTTGAGCGGACCACACGGGAAACACAGGGAAGCCAAGTGGAGAAGCTCCTTTCAGTCCGCTTACTTGGCATGAACGTTTAGTATTTTTATTCTGAATTTGTTGTTATTGTTGTTGGTGTTGTAACTAGAGCGCTTCTACAGCTGCCAGCCGCGTTCATTGTCTTTTTTTGTAAACAGCCCCTCTCCGTCCACTCTCCTCCAGCACTTTACTTTATTGCAAAACCAGAAAATAAATGTACTTTTCCAGAGACGATCAATCAACATGTCATCAGTCAAATACTGGGAAGAATAACTGTGGCTCCAATAAAACAAAACTGAGTTTAAAGAATAGTTTAAATAACGCTGAAAACAATGTACAACCCGTGAGTAAAATCCCTTTTAATTAATTTGAACATGCTTTATTGGCTTGGTATTTGGCAGAAAGTTGCCAAAGCCTTAAGACCACATCAGAGGTTGTGTCAGTGTGTGTGGGTCACTCCCTTCACTACACAGGCACACACGCACACACACATATAAGGTTGCCATTCTACAGCCACTTTTTACAACTAATAGGCTCGTGATATACAAATGTACAAGATACATACATTAAAGTTAGAGCATAGATTACTGTGGTAATAAAATATTCTATAAAGTGTAAAGCAAATAAAATGTCAAAGGCTTTCTTTCTCTCATGTGTCTCTCATAAAGAAGCAAACTTTGAAGCTGTTGTCTCACATCTGGCATTGGTTATGTTTTGATAGTTGAATAATCAAAGACTTATTTTAGTCTCAGCTGATGGCACTGAGAATATATCAGTGTGTGTGAGTTTCAGTAATAGATTGCTATATATAGATGTTTTCTAATGTTGCTTATTCAGTGTATCAAACCATAATAATGACCAATTATAGCAATAAAGGTACATTTTAAAATTTACCTTTGTTGCCTAAGTCAAGAAACCATCACCTGCACTAGTCTAATTTAGTTAGATTTAGGATGTTTCATAAACCAAGAATGCATCTGAAACCTATGTAGACAAGTCGATAAGGATAGGGAATGATTATTAGAAAACAAATGGATATTTCAGTATAGAAATATATTGTGTAGCCCATCTATGACATCTGAAAAAAAGATTTCTGTAAATGAAATAGCCAACGAACAAATTCAAACATGATTTGGATAAGTGAACCTTCCTGAACAGTCTTAAATCTGAGAGTCAGTCCTCATGAGGGCATCTTCAAAATCTACTAACTGCAACAAAGTGCTAACAATTTGGATGAATCAAAAAGCCGTAGGGAATTGCAAGAAAGTTTCAGAGTGTTCGTCTGAAACTTTTACTCTTACTGCATGCACACAGCACGAAAGAGAAAGGCAAGCCGTTGTGCTGCAGCCGCTCACTTGGAGCGGCGTGCATGTGAATATATTACAGTGTGATAGATTTGTGGATATTTCTTGCTTTGTACATGATTTGTCTGGCATCTGTTGGGCTGTCCGTCCATGCGCTGTCAGTATTTTCCAGAGCATTATTGGTTATGAATTTGCTTAACTGCTCAGTTAGGGAATCTGTGTGTAGTTTGTAGTTTCTGTGGTTTAATGCATGTTAACTTAACTGGTAATTCTAAATTAGTGTGCATGGTTCTCTGTCTCTCTGTATTAGCCCTGTGCTGGACTGTTGACCTGATCGCAGTGTACCCTGCCTCTCACCAAGTGTTATAGCTTCCATCCCCCATGACCCTGGCAGGTTTAGTGGTTAAGACTAAGGGGACTAGTGGATGATTGCAGGGACTGTGTAATGATAAGATATGGCTGGCAAAACTATAACTTTTATTGCCTTAGTTTAGTAGCAGGAATGCCAGTGTTCCATATGCTCCACTGCTAAGGCAGCTGTGTCTATATGTGTATGTGTAGACTGAAATTAAAAGATGTGACATTTTCTGGATGCATCTCAAAGCAGCAGTGTAATTTTGTTGCTGCAAAGAGACCATCTTGGGTGTAGTGCTAAATTATCAACTAATGTTTGCAAACTTTTTCATACAGAGGGTTGAAACTGATGAGACATACCATGAAGATATGGGAAAGAGTTTTTGAAGCTAGGTTAAGAAGAGAGGTTATGATCAGTGAGCAGCATGGCTTCATGCCGAGAAAGAACACTATTGATGTGATGTGGTGCAGGACATGTATGAGGATGGTGAGACAGTGGTGGCATCTGTTGGGCTATCCATCCATGCGCTGTCAGTATTTTCCAACAACATGCCAACAACATGCTGACAGATGAGGTTAGGCAGCAGTCACTGTGAACTATGATGTTTGCAGGTGATCTGTGATCTGTAGTGAGAGCAGGGAGCAGGTGCAAGAGAGCCTGGAGAGGTGGAGGCATGCTCTGGAGTGAAAGTCAGTAGAAGCAAGACAGAATACATCTGTGTGAATGAGAGGGACAGAGGTGTAACAGTGAAACTTCAAGGAGCAAAGGTAGTAAAAGTAGATAAGTTTAAATACCTGGGTTCAACCATCCGTAGCAAGAGGCAATGCTCAAGGGAGGAGAAGAAGAGAGTGGAGATGAGATTTGATTTGTAAGAGAAGGAGAGCAGCAAGAGTGAAAGGGAAGGTTTATACGATGGTAGAGAGACCTACTTTGATATGATTTGGAGATGGTAGCACTGACAAAGAGACAGGAGGTGGAGCTGAACATTGTAAAATGAGATGATTGGGAGATATCTAGATGGTGGATTTACTAGGCAAAGGATGTCGAAGATGGAGCTGCCAGGTCAGAAAAAAAGAGGAAGACTTAGATTCAAGATGTAGTGAAGGAGGACATGCAAAGGGTTGGTGTGACTGAGATGTGACAGGACGATGTTAGGGATAGGGTAAAAATGAAGGCAGATAGACAGTTGTAACAACCTCTAAAGTGATAAGCTGGAAGAAGAAAAAGCTAGGAAATTTTGTTAGCAAGCCGTCTTCATAAACTGCACGGTACAGATACAGATATCTCTTATTAGTGCAACACTAATAAAATACTTGAAGTTTGTGCTCAGAAGTTTGGAGCACAAACCTCTCAGACGGACTATACCTCACAGCAAGTCATATTATTTGCCATTATTCAATTAAATTAGAGAGCAGACTGATGCTGACTACAGCTAAGCCTTTTACTTTAAGTCTTAACCAAATTGAAAAGGGTTAGTTATAAACAAGACCACTCGTCTCAGTTATTATTATTGATTTCTAAATTATCTAATGAAACTAAAACTTTTTTGTAGGCAGCCTTATAAGAAACTCTATTTTTTTTGCATGGCTTAATTTTTTCAGCAGCAGAGGTTGTCAGTTGCTATATGCATACACATTACAGGATATCTATGTGATTCTGTAGCCTCGTCATGTAAACACGATTGTTTTTAAATGTTCGCATCTTCTCAAGCACACACACATGCACGCACGGGCTTCTTTGTGTGCGCGTTTGTGTGCATGCGTGCGTGTATGTGCGATAAAACGACAGGGGAGCCGTTTGCTGTAGCCCGTGGAGTGTGGCAGAGTGGCTGCGAGATAGCAAAGAGAGAGGAAGAGCTGATGAGAAACATAGAGGCAAAGCGATAGGAGAGAGGCAACAGTGATCAGGTGCAGATAAGACAGAGGGAGAGGGGCTGCAGAAAACGCCGCTTTTACGTGGAAAAAAAAGCAGCCATGCACAACTGACGGCAACTCTCCTTTCTCCCACTTCTCCCTCTTATTCTCTTGTTCTCCTTCCTCATGATGGATGTTCAAATTCATCTTAATGCAAAGCCCAAATGTTACTGAAAGGGCTGTTGATATCTTTAATAATTTTGCATGACCATGTTCCCCATATCCTTTTATATGCATCTGCACTGAAAGACATAGAAAATAAAATTCACTGTCTTTGTTCCATGTAAAACTCTCAAATGACTTATATTAGTCTCAGCTCAGCTGAGCTGGGACTAATATGCCCTACTCTACGTTAACAACATCAAACAAATGTTTTCCAGTACGCAGTCTAATTTGTGTTACTGTCTGTTCTGTCTCTCTGAAATTGTACTGTATGCACACATTGTTTCACTACTTTCTCTTTCTGCCTCTCTTCACAATTCTTCCAAATTATTGCCATGAATTATAGCGTTAAAACATTACCAACATGAATTAGAATGAGCACGTATACAAGATGTGTTATAACAGTGTTTATAATTTAGCACGAAGAATTGCTCATACTAGCCCGACAGTTTAAACCCAATCCACAACAAGGTGCTCTCTGTGAGTTTTGCTTGTAACTGTGTGTGCCTCATAAAGTATAAACATTCATCAAAATATCTATCTCAGGCTGGAAAACACTCGTGCCTCCAGTGTGAACACAGAAGTATTATGGGGATCCAGCAAGTACAGAGTCATGCTTGCCTGCAACAACTCAACTGCAAGTCACCTTTGGGCAATGATACTATGTGTAGGTTAAATACTGATTGCTGGCTTTAAGAGTAAAGGGAACAACCACTGGGAAATTCACTCAGCAGAGGAAGAAACACAAAATACATGAAAGAAGTGTTGATGAGAAGCACAGTGGACAGTTTTAATGGTTTTTATCCCTTGGTTGCTACAAATAAGTTCTTTGTCATCTATTAATTCTGCCTTTTCCCAGAGGCAAAGCTAAAAAAACAAAAACTAGCAGATCCACAAATGTTCATCTGCAAAGTTCTGGTTAGGAAAAGTGCAGA